ATACAAAGATGTTGAGCATTTTCAGAACAGGTCAGCCCACGAATTCTATAGCTTGAAAGCTAGCAAAAGCTCATGCGAGTGCTCACACAAATGAGCCATAAAGACTATAATAAACAACAAGCTATGATGCTGAGACAAAACCTCAGATGTGGAAAAAATCCCGAATCTTTGTGAACAGAACTTCAAAGGTGAAGCAAACAACATACAATTGGATAAAGAGGATACTCAACGAGGCATCTTGAATATAGTAAACATCTTAACAAGCTTATTAACTTTTAAATATCCTTTAAAAGAGTACAATAGATATAATTGCATTATTTTTTGCAGGCCCCATCTTCAGAAACATCAGAAAGCAAGGGAAGTCCGGGATTTTTTTCACAAATGTTTTCTGAGTTAGCTGCGCCTCTTTATGAAGAGGACGAACAGGATTTTCTGTCGGAAGATAGAGAACCTGAAAATCCATCTGTAGAAGATGAGTTGGGAGATGATGATCCAGAGGAGGCAATTTATGAAACAAGCAATGGTGAAGACAATAAGCCTAATTTTGCATTACCTCAATTTGAAAAGTCAGTTACAGAGAATGTAAATTCTGCACGAACTGCAGAGGAAGAAACCTATTTTGGTGGTGCCACTGAGAGTGATGCTGATCAAGAAAAAGGGGAGGACCAACCATTGCCCAATGCTATTAAGGAGGGTAATGTTTCAGCGTCTCTGCCATATTCATCCACCTTAGATTTGGCAAATGCCGAAAATAAAAACCCTGAACTTCCAGATGCACATACTGGTGAACCAGATGTAGAAATTGACAGCAGACTGGAGGAGGGATCAAAAGACCTTGATAGGGTGCAGTCTGAGCAAGACTCAGCAGTAAATACAAAGTATGAATCCTCAGTTAAACAAACTGACGATAAAGAAATTGAGAGCCACCAGGAGAAAGAACAATCAAACAGTAAAAAGATGCAGTTTGAGGAAGATTTAATTGTGAATTCAGTAAATGCTGAGGAATCAAAAACCGAACCTTCGGTTAAAGAAAACCCTGCCGAGAAGGAGGCAGAAATTGACAGTGCTGGTGTTAACAGGGGAAAGCAAGACCCTGAGCAGGAGGAGCCAAGGAGTGCAGACAGCTCAGGAGGGACGCCGTTTGATAAGAAACAGCCTCACTATGAGGACGGTGCAAAAGAGCTGTCAGATGAAGACTTGGAGCATCTGCGAGTTAAAAGCAAACCTCAAGAACAAGTTCCATCAGATGTACTGCAGGAGGAAGTACAAGATCTCAAAAAAAATAAAAAAGAGGAGGCAGGGGAACAAGAAGCCAAAGAAAGAATGGAAGAGCAGGCAAGGAAATTCAGCCTAGAGAAGGCAAAAAGGGATGCACAGGAGAAGAAGAAAGTATTGGAAGAGCAGTCGAGAAATCTGAGGTTGGAGAATGAAAAAAGAGATGCGGAAGAGAAGAAGAAAGCAATTGAAGAGCAGACAAGAAAGCTCATGTTGGAGAAAGAAAAAAGGATTTCAGAAGAGAAGAAGAAAGCAATTGCAGCGCAGGCAAGGAAAGTCAGGCTGGAGAAAGCAAAAAAGGCTGCAGAAGAAGAGAAAAAACGGAAAGAGGAGGAAGCGAGACAACTGAGACTTGAGTCACTGAAAAAGCAACGGCAACAGATAGAAGAAACTGAGAAGATGGAGATGGAAAGGTTGCGTAGGGAGGAGGAGAAAGAAATTTCTTTGAAAAAACTAAGTGGTGCTGAAAGAAAAGAGGAAGAGGTTGATGACAAG